CACTTTTATCTCCCTTATTCCAAAAATTGAGGGGGCTGTGAATATTAAGGAGTTTAGGCCGATTAGCTTACTTCACAGTTTCTATAAAATTTTGGTGAAAGTCTTGGCAGAAAGAATGAAAGGGGTGATAGGTGATGTTATTTCAAATAATCAGAGTGCATTTATTCCGGGCAAACAGATGGTAGACTCAATTTTAGTTGCTAATGAGTTAATTGACTCAAGGAGAAGACAGGGTATTCCGGGGGTTGTTTGTAAGCTTGACATTGAGAAGGCTTATGACAATGTCAATTGGAATTGTTTGGATAGGGTGTTGGACTGCATGAATTTTGGATAGAAATGGAGAAACTGGGTTAGTTTTTGTACTAAGACCTCTAAATTTTCAATCCTAATTAATAGGCAGTCCATGGGTTTCTTTGGTAGTTCTAGGGGGCTGAGATAGGGAGATCCTCTGTCACCCTTGCTGTTCATCTGTGTTATGGAAATCCTCACTCTTTTTAGTAAGAAGGCTGCAGAATCGGGATTATGGAATGGGTTTGCTATCTCTCCAGGTAAAGAGAAAGTTAATATTCTTCAGTTTGTTGATGATACCCTCTGCTTTGTGGACGCATCTCTGCCTCAGTTGGAAACAGTTATTGGAATTCTGAGTTGGTTTGAAGTGGTTACGGGTCTCAAAGTCAATCTGAACAAAAGTAAGATCATCCTAGTGGGTCAAGTTGTAAATTTGGAGGATTGTGCACAGATAATGGCCTGCCATATGGAGCTCCTTTCGGTTAAGTATTTGGGGCTGCCTCTTGGGGCAAAATGTTCCTCTTCTTCAATCTGGAGTCCAATCATTGAGAGAATGGAGAAGAGGTTGGCTCTTTGGAAGGCTAAATATTTGTCTTTTGGCGTTAGGGTTACATTGATTAAGAGCTCCCTRTCCAACCTCCCAACACACTTTCTTTCTCTCTTTCCAATTCCAAATAAAATTGCAAAGAGGTTGGAACAGCTTCAAAGGAACTTCTTATGGAGGGGATGGGTGGATGAGAAGAAAATTCACATTATTAAGTGGGAGCAATTGTGTAAGCCTAAGGAGAAGGGTGGTTTGGGAGTTAGGAAAGTAAAAGATTTCAATGCTGCTCTTCTTAGCAAATGGATATGGAGATTTGCTTATGAGAGAAATGCTTGGTGGAGGTGCCTCATTGCGTCTAAGTATGGTGTGGATTGGGGAAATTGGAAAACTCTCGATCCCCTTTCATTTGGGGGTATTTCTATGGTCAGTACTCTAATTGGAAAACTCTGGGCTGGTATTTCTAAGGTTAGTACTCTTTTCATGAACGGGGTCAAGTTTAAAGTTGGAAAAGGGGATAGAATTAAGTTTTGGAAGGATTCGTGGTGTGAGGAAGGCCCCTTGGCTGATGCTTTTCCCCGGCTGTTCCAAATTGCAGTGAATCAAGATTCTTCAGTTGCTGATAACATTAGTACCTTTGGGGGCTCCTTTTCTTGGACTCCCCTATGTAGGAGGAATTTGCTAGACTGGGAAGTGGAGGAGTATGTAGGTCTATTGGGGCAGATTCAAAATCAGAGAATTGATATGAGTATGGAAGATGAATGGACTTGGAAGTGGAATGCAGATGGTAGATTCACAGTTAAATCCCTTTTTCTTAAGATGTGCAGCTCAGGTCAGGAGAACTTCCCGGATGGGCAGATTTGGAACCCCACCTGTCCCTCCAAGGTTAACTTCCTGGTTTGGACAATGGTTTTGAATAAATGTCTAACTAGGGTCAACTTGGAGAGAAGGGGTATTCAGATTCCTGATCCTTCTTGTGTTTTATGCGGCATGGGTGCTGAATCTATAGATCATTTGTGCATTCACTGTCCGATCTCCTCTTCAATCTGGGGACATTTCTTCAAGAAACTAGAAGTGTGTTGGGCTATGCCAAAGTTTGTGAAGGAGCTGTTTATGAGTTGGAGATTGGAGGGTCTTAGCAAGAAAGGCAGGCTTATTTGGAATACTATTCCATAGGCTGTTCTTTGGTCCATTTGGATGGAAAGAAACAATAGAATTTTCTGTAATCAATCTAAAAGTCCAGATGAGATTGTGCAGAAAGTGGTGGGGAAGATTTGCTCCTGGGCGTCGGTGAATGAGGAGTTTAAAAGTCAGAATGTTTCTCTCCTTCTTTGTACTAAATCATGGATGTTTTTTGTAATATGTTTTGGGCCCAGGAAGGCCTAGTTGGCCTAAGTCTTGTTGTAATTGGCTTTCTCATTGAATAAAATTACTTTACCTTTTTCCAAAAAAAAATGTTTCTTTTTAAAAGAAACAAAGAGATGATGAAGTAAAGAACATAGTCTTAATTAAATTGATTTGAATGACATGAATCATATAAGTCCAAAGATTCATGGATAAATCATAGGATTCAAACAAAAATTGTAAGGCTTTTTCAGAAAAGGATTTACACATAAGATTTGAATCGAAACCCTTTGGGATTCATGATTCAAAGCCTTTGACAGAGTTCAAAATTGTAGATAAAGAGGGGTTAGAAGAAAATTGTTTTCTTTGTGTTTGGTGTTTTCTCTCTTGGGTGAGGGTGACTTCTGGTCGCCTTTCTTGTACTTTCTTTTTCTTTTAGTAAATTTTATTTTTACTACAAAAAAAAATTCATGATTCAAATCATGAATTGCATCATAAATTATTTATCAAAAAAATTGCATCATAAATTGTAAGATTTTGAAGACTATAACTTTGCCATTACTAGGCATCTATAATGGAATTTTCTCAATCACAAAACCTTGGTTTCATGGTTTAGTGCACGCCACAATCTACTACTTAAATCATGACCTGAACATTAACCCACATGGGATACTAATTAGACCAATGAATCTTGCCTGCTTTAGTTTGGTTGTTCATTTGGGCCCCACAAATGCTAGCATCTTTTTAGTAAGATTTCGACTTTACTAGGGGATAAATGCTAAGAACATTAGTGTTTTAAGAGGTCTTTTAGGATTTAGGGCTTAGGTAGGGAGACTTTTGCTTGCATCCTCACATCATATCTTCTTTTTTGTTTTGATAGATCTCGTATCTTTTTTTTTTATTAATTTATCTTTACATTTTCTATTTTTAATTGTGACTTCTAAGATCCTACTTGGATTTGTGTGCTGCATCATAATTTGTTACCTAGGCATTCCCGGTGGCTGCCATTTTCTGGAGTGAATGCCATATGTTCCATGTCCTTGTCTTTCCCATTTGAACATCTAGGCTTGGAACTCTGTTCTGTTTGGGAGAGGGGCAACTTGGCAAGATCCTGGATGCTCTACCTTTTGTCCTCTTTGGCCTTTGCTTTATGTCAGTAACTTGGAATGAACATAATCCTAGTGAATCAACAAAGACAATACTTGTTCATTGGGCCCATCCAATGATTTAAAAGGCGCACCTAGGTGCACAGGCAAGGCACATTTTAGGTAGGCGCCTTGCCCAGGTCCTAGGCGCAGCCCTTCCAAAAGGTGCATGCTTGGTGCGCCTAGACGTGTGCTTGATGCGCCTTGCGCCTCAGCCTGTGTGCGCCTTTAGAAAGTTTGACGCTTTTTTGCTTTTTTTGAACCTAAAGGCTGGGCGGGGGCTCCACCCCTAGACCCCTGTGCCACGCCTCTCGAGGCAAGCCCAAACAAGTTCATGTTAGGGTCCTAAATTCTTAGTTCTCACACAAAAAATAATGAGTTATAATTTTAATTGCTTTTTAAGAAGATATTTTAGTAGGATGAATGAATGAACAATATTACCAAATAGGGGGTTCCACTCCGCTCCGGTTCGCTCGCTTTGCTCACTATTTTAAGTATAATGCAATTGAGGAAAAAAAGAGATTGTGGGTTTTACATGCTTGAAAATGTTTTATATGTTTATCTATCAAAAAAAAAATTTATATGTTTGGTTTTATTTTTAAATTCACATTTGAATATGCTTTACATGTTATGATTATGTATTTAATTTTAGACAATAGGTTTTTTAAAACATTTATTTTAAAATTTAAAGTTTATATTTTTATTAATATTATGCTTAATATTTTTTATGTTTTTTTTTTGCATTTTTTGATTTTTCCGACATTTTTTTTTGATTTTTTAGATTTTTTTTAATTTTTGCACCTTAATTCAAAAAGGCACGCACCTTGGGCGCAAATTGACCCTTGCGCCTTTTTTGCACCTTGCACTTTTAAAACATGGGTCCATCATCAAGAAACTAGAAAGCTGTCTTTAACTATGTTACATTGAGACTTCAAAATGGGTGATGTTGGATACATGTGGATACTGATACCAGCACTACACTTCAGAGGAGTCTTCCTTTCTGTCACATCCATAATATGTGATTGAAGAATCTCACTTATTTTGTTACAGTTTGCCTCTCACTTGTTTTGCCTTTGGAACGACCTAGAATTAGTTTTTGTTTTCATTTATTTAACAGGATTCCTCCAGTTTCATCATTTGTTGGGCTTTTTCGGTAATAAATAAAAGAGAAAATTTATTGAGAAATTAAAAAAGAGACCCCAAGATAAAAGAGAAAATTTATTGCAAGAGAGGTGATAAGAAATCACCCAAGATAAATTAAAAAGAGACCCCAAAACCAGACCTCCCTTTGGAACCTTCCTACCTTCCAGACAATAAATAGCTTGCAAAAAAGCAAGGACAAAGAACACAAACACCGAACACTGACCAACAAAGATCCCAACAAAACAACTAGTTTGATTTTTAAACCCCTGGAGCACCTGATAGAAACTGCCTAACCTCTGACCTTCCAAAGCCCATCATTCACATGCTACTTCGTAGAAACTGTAACCCTTGTTTGAATACTCTGTCTTTTATGTCTGTAACAGGAACCTCTCTGCTTCTTTTTACATTCCTCTTGGTCTTCTTTCCCTTCTTATTGAGTCCAACCCCAAATACTCCCCCATTCTATCTGGTGAAAACTTTTGACACTTGGACAGCCTGGTGTTTTTCTGACATCATCATCATCATCATCCAAGCCTTATCCCAACTATATGGGGTTCTCTACATGAATCCTGTTTTTCCAGTCTGTTCTGTTTAATGCCATATCCATTGTTAAATTGTTGGTGCTTAAATCATTTCTTACTACCTCTACCCTTGTCCTTTTTGGTCTATCCCTTACCCTTTTAGTCCCTTCAACTTGTAACAAATCACTTCTTCTTACATGTGTTGAAGGTATCTTAGTCTACTTTCTCTCATTTTATCACCTATTGGAGCTACTCCTAAGTTCCTATGAATGACTTTATTTTTTATCCTATCCTTTATATGGTTTTTCCACCCATCTACCTCAGCATACATACTTCTGCCACACATTTTCTGGACATGTTTTTTGACTTCCCAACACTGATCCTCCTCAATCTCTCCCTTGTCACATTTGGTGTTAGGCTCTTCTTGGAAGTTTTTCTTTAGGCAGAGAGTCATGTGGTGTTACCCATTCTTTTTGGCCTTTTATTGATGAATGAATAGTTAGTTATCAATGAGAAGGTAGATGAAATAGAAACAACTTTTTTCTTTGTTTTGTGCTTTTAGTAAGAACAGTAATAAAAATGACATTTTTTATTTAAGTTAGCAAATGCAATGTAATGGATAGGGTAAAACGAGATTAACAACTCTACTCCATCCCCTTTTATTGTGATTCTTGCTGTTTGTGTTTCAATGTTTAAAAATCTTTTTTGTGTTCTTACAGTTTTTATTCCCTTTTTTGTGTTATAACCTTTTTAGTGTCCTCTGTATTGTAGGAGGAATCTATTGAATGTTTTGGATTTTCTCAAGAAGCCAAATGCAAATGACCTCGTATCTGGAACAAGAGACAGGGTAACTTTGTACGATAAGTTTAGGAGTGCCATTGAAGCTTCATTTCCTGGGACTATTGACCAGTTGGTATTGAAAACTGAAGAGAAGGCAGCTAAGCAGAAAAAACTGTCATTCTGGGATTCTGTGACAGATTCCAAAGTGGGTGCATTCAAATTTTCTTTCTGAACCCACACATTTTTAGGCGAAACCAAAGGACTGGGAAAGGAACTAAATTATGGAGCCTACCCTTTTATGAAGGATTGGACACCTAACACAATTCATGTAGAGTTGATCATAATTCCCCTTTATTTTTGATAAAAAATAACTCTCCTTTATTCATTGTTGAACGTTGAGAGAGGTAAAGTCAACCCAGATTTTTGATACTGATCTTTTGTTTTACTTTATTATAATCCCATAATTTTTATGGTTTGATTAGATCATAGTTGTTCCATCAGAAAAAGATTAGATCATAATTAATTATTGTTTTTTTTTATGTATTTCATGATATATTATATACAAATCAGAGAAATGATCATCGAAATGATGGAACTGTAGTTGCTGTGTAAATTGATCAGCAGAAACTATTAGATGTGTTCTGTGTTCACTGGGAGAAACCACTGCACTTGGAATTCATCTTAATTTCAGAGATGATTCTAAGAGTTTCAGTTTGCGCTAATAATTGGTAGACCTCTCTCTCTCTCTCTAATCTCCCGTTGCCAAAGCGCCTCTCCCAGAGGAGACAAATTTGTGTACAGGGGGTGGTGCATTCTATAAAGAACATTAGAGGGAAATGCGCCTTGTATATTTTGGATGTTGCAAAAGCTCATTGCAAGAGTAATTGGACTTATTTGTTAAAATCTTGTGGCCAATGGGTTTCTCTTCTGCTGCAATCTTATGTTTTGTTGCCCTCACCAACCTTTCAATTGCTTTAAAATCGTATTTCAGATTTTCAAGTAATCTTTTTTAAGGGCCCGTTTGGGAGGGCTTCTGCGTTGATTGAGCTGCCTCGGAGAAAACTAACAAAACTAGCTTCACCATAAATACTTTGACTTTCAGGGATTTTCATCAGACACAGCTTCCTAGCTTTGTATATGGGCCTACCTTACGAGTTACAATACTGGAAGCTGCTGTGGGAAAACCCTCCCAAATGGGGTTTTTATAAGAACCTCAAATCGATGTTACATAACTTTTGTTCTTGGTCCAGACTCCAGATAACAGATTAATCTCCAGAAATTTACTATTTTCTTCAGCTCGAATGTACACAAAGATTGATCTTCCATTTTTTTGAAGGCCAGCAGCTGCTGTCATATATAGAAGGGACTAAGAGCAGCCCACCAAAGTTGATCACCACTGATTTGTCAACTTCAGTCAACCCAGAATATCTAACATAGGAACTTCAAGACCGGTTACTGCTGAGCAGGTTGCTCACCTTGGAGAATCTCTGTGCATTCAACTCAAGGGTAGGAGTTATGTAAATCAACTATGAATTCAAATCACTTAAGCATCTGTGTATTGGAAAAAATATCAAGTTCAATTGGCGCTCCCTGTTGCAAATTAGGTTGCGCATGAGGCTGCCAAGTTAGGGCGGAAGATTTTCCTGTTAGATTAGTTTAGCTAGTATTTTCTCTGTTTTTTTTTTTTTTTTTTCTTTTCTTTCTGTTTGTTAGGTGGTTTGTGTTTGTTCTTACTTAATGGAATATCTTTTTTACCAAGATAAAAAAGGGGTCAATGACCATGGGTGAATATCTTCAATAGGTGAAGAGCATAGCCGACCTACTTGTAGTAGCATGCCAACCATTACCAAACCATAATTTCAACCTTGCCGTGACTATTAGTCATTGGAACAAAGACAAACTATGAAGCATTTGTTAGCTATTTTCACGCGACTAGATTTCTCCTTTGATGATGTATGAGTGCTCCTCAATCACGAGATTCATCTTGATCAATTTAGGTCCAAATTGATCTAGGCCTTTTTGCAGCAAACATTGCCACCAGAACTAAGCCAATAATTCTAGGCCTACTCGGCTCAAATAAAACTTCTCTAGTAGCAACTCCAATAACACTCGCTCTGATTGCAACACTAATCAATCAGCTAGATTATAATGCAAAAGTGTTATTGGAGTTAATGATTTATAATGCAAAAGTGTTATTGGAGTTAATGATTTATAATGCAAAAGTGTTATTGGAGTAAAGCATTTATAATGCCTTTTTACATGGCCATCTCATCTCGTAAAGACTATTTACATGAGACAGTTGAACCCCACATTTCTCTCAAACATGTTTGTCACCTCCAACATTCCTATTATGCTCACCTTTCAAAATTCAAAAATCTGAGAGTTTTCCATTTCTCAAGACATCCACTGCACATGATTTTTATAAGTTTTCTTTTTTTTTTTTTTGGTACAATAAAACTTTGAGGATGTGAGATTTAAACCCATCCACTCATGGTTACCAAGATCATGGTCTCATTTGACAATTGAATCACTTAATTAAGTGATCACCATACTCAATGCCGAGTTCTCTATTAAGGATATGGGATGGTTGTATTTCTTTAGGTCGTTGAGGTTGTACTAGGGATGAACATGGGCCGCGATGGGTTTTGATAGCTTATTAACAGTCTAGGGTTGCCGAGGCTGTGGGTCCGGACTTACCCATATTAATTAATAAAATTATATATTTTTCTAAAAGACCAGAACTTTAATTTAATTTTATAATTAAAATTTGTAGAAAAATCTATGAAAATTTATTATCTGTATATTAATATTTTATATACCAAATATATATATACATATACATATTACCCTTGACTGCACTAGGTTAAGGTTTGCTTGGCTCAGGCCCGGTCCTCATTATGTAGGGGATCAATGTAGGTCCAGGCTGGGTTGGACTTGGACCTGGAAGAAAAGTAGATGCCAGGGTCCAAAGATTTGTGGGCTGGACAGGCAGGCAGGTAGGGGTGGATTCAAGACGAGCTGAGCCGAATATCTGGCTATTCGAGCTCGGCTCGCTAATAGGCTATCAGGCTCAAGCTCGAGCTCAAGCTAGAGACTTGAGCTCGAATTTGGCTTGAGTCAAAAGCTCGGAAATTCAAACTTGATTTAGAATTAAACGTTTTATAAAAATAAAAATATATATATAAAAACTTATTTTTTATTTTACATAAAAATTTAAGAATTACAAAAAAAAGTAATTATTACTATATATAAAAAATTAAAATTATATAATATATAAACATATATATATAAATATAAAAGTATATATGTAAAAGCTTGATTAGGCTCGCGAGCCTCACGAGCCTATGTACTAGACTCGAATTCGGCTCAAAGTTCAATTTTGATTGAGCTGAGCTCGAACAACTTGTGAAAAGATCAGCTCGTGGCCATCCCTAGGGGGAGGACAGTGCTAGGTCATAACTGAAAGTCCACTTGAATTGCAATAGGCAAATGACAACCAATATTGACTCATATCTGGATGTTCACTTGATGATTCTTTTGAATGTAGGGCCATTGTTGGCGCCTTACAACATCTACCCACACTCTACTTGTGGTAAATTGCAGCTACACATCTCTATTATGAATTATGAGATGTGTGGCTGCAATTCACGACGAGAAGAGTGTGGGTAGGAAAAGTGAGCAGGAAATCTGGGTTCTTTTAAGTGCATACTTCAATATAGTCACTATTCATTATGCATTAAAAAAAAAGAAAAAAAAAGCCACTAGTGACTAAGTGCTGAACATCTACTTTGTCTTCGTTGGGCCAAATTTATGTGTTTTCTTGGCGCAGATTGGGCTTATTGCCCTGATGACAAATAGTTAGAAAATGGGTTTTGTGTATTTTTGGATCATAATCTTAATCTTGTCTCTTGGTCATTTAAGAAGGTGTCAATGACTTGGTTTTGAGTTGGACCCGTCCAAATTGGACCAGTCCAGACTTAATGGTCCAAAGTATTTATTGGATTAGATTAGACTTTATCCATCCATAATAGATTTATGTTGGATTAGGTCGGGTTGAATCAATATCTGATCCATTGATAAGAATACAGTTGTCAATAGACCAATTTTGGACATTCAAGAATTTGAATTGAACCGATTCAAAATAGTTCAAAATATTCATCAGATTGGACCAGACCTGGTCCATCTGTAATGGACCATTAACAGCCCTACCTACCATATCCAAACCTAACATTGAATCTGAATACCGTAACATTGCTATTGCTACTTCTGAAATATTATGGGTTCAGTCACTTCTTTGTGAAGTTGGTGTCTTTCAGTCAAAGCCACCAATGCTGTCGTGTGTTAACCTTTGTGTTAGGTATCTAATAACAAACTTGGTCTTTCATGGACATAGAAGCATGCACTGAAATGTCCAATTCATCTCCACTAAGGATTAAATTGATGTATTCACCAAAGGCTTACTTGGGCCTTGTTTTTAGGACTGAAAATGATATGCATAATGCATTTATTCAAATTTGAATTTCATCTCTGTCCAATCCAATAAATTCCAATTTGATTTGTCAACCACACATATTGTAGATAGAGTTTACTAATAATCAACTTTATATTGTATCTACTAGTAAAGTTGGTTATTATTAGAAATTTAGAAATTTTGTTTTCAGTAATTTCTCTGCTTTTCGTGACCAGCTCTATGTTGTATCCGTGCTTCACTTAAGGGGGGAGGGGGGGTTGAAGAGGATAACTCAGGGGCGGAGCCCAACTTTTTCTTAAAATCATGATTACTTAGTGGGGAAAGCATTAAAATGAAGTTTTTCCAACTGGTAGGTGTGTACATAAATTTTGGCCTCCTTTATCATGTTGATCCGTAGGCATATAAACTTACAAAAGCTGTCATTGATTTATGTGTATGCCTATCATAGGGGAAGTTTCATTTTAACGCTTCCTCCAACAGTTAAACGCTTGTTCATTGTTATGTTGATGTAGTGCCTAATGGTGCCTATTTGTCAATAAACAGTTTTATTATTATTTTTTTCGGTTTTACAAACAAATCAAATACAAATAAATAAAAGAAAACTATACGAAATACATACAAAAGCATACATTCCAATTCTGATTCCGACTACAAACCAAAGGAATACTAAATGTATTATTGTAATCAATGTCTCTGTGTCAACACAGACTAGCATAGATTTTACAAACACTTAAGATCCTTACACAACACTCATGCCCTTGAAAGATGCCTCCATTGCCTCATGTAGAGGACTTTGCATAAAAGCAATAGTAAGCTCAAATTATTCCTTGATAGCCCAAACGTATACCTATACAAAAATTAAGGAAAACAAGACAACAATTAAGCGCTATGAATGCAATATAAATTAAACACCTCTACATTGGCCCAGAGTAGGGGTGCAACTTGGGCGGGCCCAACTTGAGCCTGGACCAGCCTAAACCGAAAACTTACATGGATTGGGCTTAGTTTTTTGGTCTTTGGGCCGGGCCCGGGCCTATAAAATTGTTTTTTTTTTTATTTTGGATTGGGCTCGGGCTAGACCATTGGCAAACCCGAGCCTGGACCGAACCCGAACTGACATCTACCGAAGCGCAAGAAACCTGAGCCCAGCCCGATGTCTAAGGCGGTAAGGCCCTTAGAGTAACCCTAAAAAATATGTTTGAGAGTTGAGATTGAAAAAGCAAAATGGTGGGAAAGAGTCGAAAGACTGAAAGTGTGAAATTGTGAATACCTTCCAATACTCGATTCCTCTCTCTTACCTTTAAATAGTCATTAGTCAATGCTCAATACCTGACCTATTAGAGTGTTCATTCAAGTCCTTTGTAAAAGACTAAAGTGTGATTCTTCTGGTTTTCTGCTGAGTGACAATTGAAAATAGAGCAAGTTAAAGGTAGGTATGGTTTCTAATAGGGGTTAATAGCATATAAGGGAAACTTTTGTAGTTTAATATCAATAAAAGTAATATATTTAAAAAAAATTCAAAAATAGGTTAACTTTTTAGAAATAATATCACTAAAGGGAAAAAACACTGTTCTCATCTTCTTCTTGCCATTTGTTCATTAGAGCCACCGTCCGCCACCGCTCGCCACCACCTGCCACTGTCATCCAATGCCGCATGCCGCTACCTTCTTCCACCTCCGTCTCCGCCTTCGGCAATGTTATCGAAGGTGGTCGGAGGCAGAGGTGGTGGCATTGGATAGAGAAACCACCAGTGCTGCCGCTGCCGCCACCTCTACCTCCGGCCACCTCCGGCAATGTTGCTGGAGGCAGAGGTGGGTGGAGGCGACGGCGAGTGGCGGCTCTGGAGAACAAATGGCAAGAAGAAGAAGATGAACAGTGTTTTTGCCCTTTATTAATATTATTTTTAAAAAGTTAACCTATTTTTGAAAATTTTTTAAATGTATTACTTTTATTGATATTAAACCACGGTACCACCTACTTTTCTTTTATTCATTTTTATTGTTTATGGATTAAATTTCCTGGTTTTACTTTTTAGTTTTCACCCTTTGTCTTTCATCTTTCTAGTTTCTATTATAAAATAATGCAATGAATAAAATATTAGAAAAGATAGAATGCTGCATCAATTCACTTTTTAGTTTGTCTTCTTTATTTTTTATTTAGTTATTTAATATTTATTGGATAGTTTCGTCTTATCATTTTATGGCATTTCCCAAATCCCAACCCACTGCAGCCCTAATTCTGGCTTAACCATATTTCTCTGTACTGGCTTTCTTAGAAACCATGGAAACTAGTTTGGTCTGAAAAGCTATGTCTAGGGAGTAGGGTGTCATCCTCCTTTTGTCATTCTTTAATTCCATCTCTATCCCCACAACACAACTACTAGTCTACTAGAGGCTAACAAACATGGACTGGATAATCAATACAACGATTTGGAGTATACTAGAACGGAAACAAATCATATTTGTTCAAAAACAAATCATATCTATAGATTTATACTAAAGCTTTTACAAAAAATCAAAACTCGAACTTTAAGAATTCTTTGATCGAGTTGACATGCGAAAAAATTAGCAATTTGGATAATCATTTCTTGTACTGGAATTTGGGCAGACCCAATCCTATCCCTCTAGTACCAAAAAAAAAAAAAAATCCTAGCCATCACATATCCAGTCCAAAATTTTATACAGGTTACAGGCTGCTAGGATGGGCTTTGATATTTATCCTTCAGATGGGCTAGGGCAAAAAATCTTAAGCCTTTTTAATTTTTTAGGCTTTGATTGGATTTTGGGTCATAGAATGGGCTTAAGCCCATAGCCTAGTCTTTTAAATTAGGGGTGAAACTTGGGCGGGCCCAACCCAACCCGAGTTCGGCCCTAGCCCGAGCCCAGCCCGAGTGTGTTAAATTTAAGCTCGGGTTGGGCTCGGGCCTGATCATTCGGTTTTTACTTCGGGCTTGGTCCCTACTTATAGGTGATAGGGTCAGGCCCGGGTTTATCCTAAGCCCAACCCAACCTGCCCGACTTGCACCCCTACCCAGAGTGATGATCAATTGGTGATCCACCAATAACCCCAGTTTTCTGAGAGTTGGTCCTGCCAGACACTTCTTGGTTTATGTGTCTGATGGCATATGCCAAGGCTAAGCTGATTATTAATCTGTCTGAGGTCGTCAATTCACAAGGTCAGTAAATCATACCAGTGCTTGAGACCAACTCATGTCAGTTTACCTTGTTACATAACCTGGAAACAGAGCCACATGTATGATCCTTACCCATTCATGAATTTACATTTTCATGGCCTAACTGTATCTTTTCATTACTGCCCCAAGTTTTGGATCTTGATCAATCAGTTACAGTCTTTGTATTTGTACAACTTTGGGTTATGGCTCATCTGTGGATCCATGTTTTGCCATAGTATCAAGGATATAAAGGATTAATCTATAACAAAATGATATTATGCTTACTTGCTTCGATGTGCTTTCTTTCTCCAGAAAATGGACACAACCCACTGAACGCACTGCCATTTGGAAAATGCATGGATGAGCCATGGAAGAAAGCATGATAATAGTAGTTTAGTGAAAAAGTAGAACTGAGAATCAACAAATAGGCCAGAAATTACCTTCAATACTGACATGAAGGGAAGGCTATCAATGAGAGATGGCCTCTTCACAGGTACACGCATCCTCCCTTCTGGTGGTATTTCTTTACACATATGTTGATCAGCTATTTTACCCAGTAATATCAACTGTGATTTATCCATAAGCATGGAATTAATTGTCTGCTTCATTGATTCTATATCTGCCTCAAGTGCTTGATGCCTTGTGTAGAGTTTCTTGATGTCAGGATCTCCAATGTTAGCTTGATTAAAAAAGGATTCCCTTGGAGTGTTACAATAATCCTCACAGGCCCCAATTGTAGCTCTGGGCTCTGGATCATCATTATAAGAGGCTTCATGATGAATAGAATCAATGGGATGAACAGAATCAATGGTATACAGTCTGTCACTCATGCCATCTCCAAGGTCTGGTACATTATCAATCTTCCTCAAATTAGAGTAATCATCTGGTTGTGAGAAATATTGGGTCTTCTTAAAACTGTAAGCAGGGTACATCATTTCCACAGAACTATCCTGTCCTGTTCCCTTTACCAAACCAAAGGATGAAGATGAGGTCTCCCTGGAGAGCTTCAGGGCATGCCTCAGCCACTTGGGAGATTTACCTACTACTACCTTGTTATTAAATTCCCCATCCATCTGATTACAGCTAAGATTTCTCTCCAATTCGCAGATTCTGTCCTCCAAATTCTGCAATTCCCGGGCACCAAGAGTTTCACCAAAACCATATGAAGAGAATTTGAATTGGGTTTCAAGGTTCTCAACCCTGCTGTTCAGATGAATTGGGTATCTACCCTTCTCACCTTCTATCTCAGCTTCAGAAAGCCCATAACTCAACATCATGTGTCTGTACGCCTGGACCAGATATATAAGGAATTGGGTGGCTTGCTCACTCTTATAAAACAAGTCTTCTAATGTGAGAAGCTTCTGTTGATCGTGAGCCATTTTCTCCTCAGCAAACCGTTTGAATTGCCGCGCTTCCATCTGGGCCTCGGCCTTTTCCCTCTGCAACTTCAATATCATTGACATGACCTCTTTTGCAGCTGAAGCTGCAGCATTTCTCTCTGCTTCCAGCTCAGAGTACAAATCCTGTATTGTTTGTTGTTGGCTGCTCAGTGCCTCTCGTAAGGCCATGCATTCATTCTCCAATTCAATTCGAAATATAGAGAAGTCTGTTGGAGCATTTTGGCTACTAGCTTCAGGCTCTTCAGACTTCCTTTTCACCAAGTGGTGCCAACTGCTGTGGATCAATGTGCACCTACAACTACATTTACAGCATTGAAGCAAATCTGTTGAAGGTGATATGACTTTGGAATCCATAAGCTTTCAAGTATCCAATTCAAGCCTATCTCAACCCAATGACCACCAAACCTAGAAAGTAACCAGAAACAAATAAAACCTTCTCTAGGGGTTCAGTTGAACTCCTCAGTAAACAATTACAGATGCTTTGAGCGTTTCTCTTCCTCAAACTCAATAACAACTCTTCTTTTAGATCAGTAGTCAAAGACAAAGCTCCACGAACATCCACCTCCCAATACAATTGCAAATAGTAAATCTCTTTTTGAGCTTAACAGTGTACCTGAAACCGAAACAAAGACAAAATCTTGATGCAATGCATCATTGTGATCAAAAGAAGAGAAATATTTACTAAAAAGAAGGGAGGAAGCAAGAGAACTGACTTATGTTCGACCTCTAGACCTGCAAACAATCAAGCTTGAACATCGTCCCACTATTTTCTTACTTACGTCATAGAGGGATTTTGCAAGAATGGTGTTTTCCAAGAGTGTTAGTAGGAACGGTAATGGGGTAGGGCACCCATTCCCCATGGGGGACTTGGAATCACCAGATTTTCTCCGCCCCACGGTAAATCTAGTTCGTGAATATTTTATAAATAGGATTACGAGGGTTTTTTAGGAATTGAATTATGGAAATTTTGAGGTATTTTAGAAATAGAATTTTGGGACCTAAGATTTTAAGAATTTGGAGAAAATTTTGAGATATTTTAAAATTAAAATTAAATTTAAGGATATTTACTAATTTATCATCAAGTTCAAGAAATTATATGCAAACCCCATCCCCGCCCCATTCTTGGTTTGGGGCAAAAATGTTTTTCCTATCCCCATTTAAGATCAAGGAAATCCACCCCATTTGGAAAACCCACAAGCTATTCCCACATCCTTACCCACTTGATATAATAGTTACACATTTGGAATATCTCTCTTATCATTTATGGGAAGATGTTCCCAATATACGGCAATGGGGTTATGTGGACAGGAATGTGGGAATTGTTTGTGGGTAACAGATCCGGAGTTAGTACTGTAAGGTTATAATTTATAAATACCATCTAGACATATAATCTGATTGCATTGTTTCAAACAAGCATGAGAAACCACACTACGAGTCCCCGAAAAAAATTGGGAGCAAGTGGAGTTTCCACTAACATGGACGTTGAGCAATAAGCACCTCCATTAAAAAAAAAAAAATGGAACCAATAACAAGAAAGAAGAGATCATTTGATGTCCTAATGAGAATATTGAAATAAGATTCTGCCCAACCAAGAAACACATGTTCCTCGGTACCTACTTACATAACAGCCCTAGAGGGAAGTGGGTTATTTGCAATAATGGAAACATCATATAGCCGAGAGATGGTCTAATGCGGTAGGAATAAGCAATGCAACTTATGAGCAGTGGTATGAAGTATAAACCAAAGCAGTCTGAGTTCAAGGTAAATACACAAATTAGATTAGAGAAAAATTTTGTAACAGATAAGTGATTATTGAGAAAACTTAACCATTAGGATTACCACACACGTTTGCATGCGTTTGGAAGTGTTGAGAACATATCAATTACTCATTGGCACTTAAAACGTACAGGTTCACTTCATTTTTTCAATCAAACGTGAACAAACTTAGGGAGGATTGCACTCCACGAATACCCCAAATAATTTCACTTCTATTGCCATTGATATTTATGTAATTAGACAATTTCAGACTATTCATAACACCAATGGTAAAAATCTTGATGAAATCATCTCAGTAAATATGGCAATTTCTACCCCACCTGGTGGTATTGGCTCCTACCCGTTCCAAAGGGAGGGTTTTTCCCTTCAAAAACAGATTTTCGGGTAGGAATGAGTTTTGGGATTTCTCAATCCGTATGGGTATGTATGGGTAAAGTACTCATATTAGTCTATACCCGACCCTTCCCAACTTGCATATGAAAAACATATGAACTTATGTAATAATATTTTGAAATTAATGTGAAGGATAATGGATATTTAATGTGCTTTTTATATGTTTAATCAAGTAATTGAAATTTTTGGTGTTTGTTCATGCTATTTTACTTACTTGTTACTTATATATAAGAAGAAATAATAGAAAATTATATGCAGGTTTTAAACTCAACTTGCCAATTCCACCCAGCCTCATCCTCAAATGCGGGGTGGATAGGATAAGGCTGTAAGGGAGGGTTTTGCATTTTCATATGTGAGAAGAGTTTGAATTTTGAGAGGGTATGAATTAGGAGGTCCAGGGGGGCACCTATGATCTAGAATTTACAAAATCATTCTGCATATGGACTTCATATGTTTTAAAAATAAAATATCAAACTCATTCTGCATATGGACTTCATAATCGCAAACTCATACAATGCAAACAATGACAATTAGGAATAATAAAAACCTAACAACAAAAAACAAGTAACTTAATGAATACATACCTAAGAGTGAAACGGAGACTGCAATCTAGCGCTTAGCAATCTCATATAGAGAAACACAGAGAAATGATAATCTCGAAGTTCAAATGGCAGTTCATGGTAGGAGAGTGAAATAAAGGACAACAAAGGGGTTTTGCTTGGAAGTTCCTTTTAACAGATGACGACTCTATTCATTTTCAATACGATTGAAGTTGGTTCAACTTCTCTTTCCCTCCTCTACAACACCAAAGGAGAAAACAATGATAATCAGCAAGTAAAGCCATGCAATGCACATCGTTAAATATAAATTTGGTTGGGTTTGGATTTGCGAATTTAGATTTTGACATTAGCTTGATGTTTATTTTTCAGGGTTGGCCTTAGGCTGGCACTAAACTAATCCAATCCCTCTAATTTACACCCTGTTTAAATAGACATAACTAAAATAGGTTAAAAGAGATTTAAAAGAAAACGAGGGATTAAAGTTGTCACAACGGCCACCTTTGCAACACAATAAAAGACAACTAACTAAAACATCAAATAAATGTTTTGGGTAAATTGCTGAAACCTCCTTTAAAGTTTCTAGCCATTGCTGAAACCTCCCCTGAAGTTTGGTCATTACAATCACCTCTTTGAACTTTCTGACTATTTGTAAGTAGACCTCCTTGTTAGAATCTGCTAACAAGAGGTACAAAAATGTCCAAAATACCCATGCAATTACTATTGAGACTGGTTTCTATAGAAAAACAATAACAATAAAAAAGAGAATTTAAAGTTGCAATTTTACCTTTGAACAATTGATACAAAGGGAAAATTTGAAAAATAAATCAATTTCAAAAAAGAGATTAAAAGGGTGTGGGCTAGCAATTCATATGAAGAGAATTTGAAAAATAAACATCTTGGTGAAAAGTAACTACATGGGTATTTTAGACATTTTTATACCTTTTTTTAGAGGATTTTAACAAAAAGGGGTCTACTTGCAACTATGTCACAAAGTTTGGGGGAGGTGATTGCAATTATCAAACTTCAGGAGAGGTTTCAACAATTTACCTTAAATGTTTCCTCATCGGTTGTTGGAGTTGTTGTATTTCAAATGACATGGCACTCACTTGGCTTATTACATGGCAGGTTATAGATTTGATTCAAGTAAAAAAAAAATTCTACAATGCCTAGTCAGCATTCATCTATACCAAACCCGGTTTAGGATGAAATGAATTGAACACACTATGCATGGGGCATGGTGTGTCTATTTCATCTTCAATCATATCACCACACCTCACCACGATACTAAACACCCATTGAGGAAACATTCGGTAGGTCTAATTCAACTTCTAATTAATTTCTTTTTTTTATTGATTTAGAACAAGTGGTTGACCATTTGATGAAAACAACTCTTATGTCTAGTAAAACCAGAAATTGTGCTACACAAGGTGAGGGTAGCATGACCCCAAACATCACAAAAACAAATAAGAGCAAGAGTCCAAAGCAACATAGAAACACTTACTAAAGACTCATTGAAGGTGGTGTGCATCAACTAATTAGCTTCTTGATTGGCTTCACAGAAAGCATGATGATAACTGACTCCACAATCCATGAGGTAACATAGATGACGACACTCATCAAGCACAATCTTCAATCTCCATAGGGGATCCACCACCTTCATTTTGTTGGTTTAATTCTTCTTAGGTATTTAAGCATGTCCTTCATGGCAGTCCAATGCTCCTGTCTTGGGATGGATTGATATCTACTTACTACATTGATTGCTTGTGCGATGTCAAGTCGAGTGCACAATATAGCATACATGAGACTCCCTATGACAAGGCATTAGGAATCTTCTTCAAGTCTTTGATCTTCTTAGAAGTCTTTGGTGACATACTCTTGGAGAGAATAACTCCATGTCAGAAAGGAACAAATCCTTTCTTGGAGTCATGTATGCAAGGTTCAAAATATTGATATGCCCGATACGCCCCTAYCGACGTATCGAGCGAATTGATACACATTTTGGTTGTTTTTTTGTATTTTTTGCAGCCATTTCAGGGGGGTTTAGGTCTCCTCTACCCCTTGAACCGGTCAGACCTCCGATACACCCATTGTAGGGGCGTATTGGAGGGGTCCTGGAATGATACGTATTGGCCAATACGGGTTGATACGTGTCGATACTTTGAACCTTGCTTGTATGTTGAACCTCTTCACAATCTTATTTATGTAAATAGATTATGATAATCTTAGGAGTCTATGACCCTTTTTCAATCTACTTTATAGAGTCAAAGTCCTAAGATAAAATGTAGGAAGCTTTTCAAAGATCTTTCTTGGAAAAGTGTTGTAAAAGTCATACCTTCATTGAGGATAACATCCTTGTTTCACTCCCAATGAGTAGGATGTCATCAAAACTTTGTACTAGAAGTACAACCTTATCTCCCATTACCTTATATGTAAACATAAGGTTCATTTGAATTTTGTTCATGGTCAAACTTTTTTTATTATTGAGTTAAACCAAATATTCTAACTTTTGAAAGCTTGCTTGGTTTAACCCATATACTGACCTATTTAGCTTGCACACCATGTGTTATTGATCTTTAACAATAAATCCTTGTGGTTGTTGCATGTAAATGTTTTCTGTAAGATCTCCATTTAGGAATGCTATTTTGACATTCATTTGCCGAATCTTATAATCATAGTATATAACTATGGCTAACAAGATTCTAATGGATTTTAGCATGGCCATGGGCAAGAAGATTTTCTCATAATTGTTTCTTTCTTTTTAAGTGTAACCTTTCGCCATAAGATGAGCTTTATAAGTCTTGTCTTTTCCACCAAGGCTCTTCTTCCTCTTGAAGATCCATTGTAACAAATTGCTTTAACTCCAAGGTGTGGATAAACAAGTGTTCAAATTTTGTTGGTTTTCATTGACTCCATCTCAACTTTCATGGCATCTACCCATTTCATGGAATTTATGTCTAACATAACTTTCATATAAGTTAGAGGATCCTTATCACTATCTTTGGTTTTCACCAAGAGTGTTTCTTGATCATAATCATATTGGATAGGAGGTCTGAATTCTCGGGCAAATAGACAACCTCATACCTTTAAGTATTTAATGCTATTTTTTTTATCAATCTAAAGCTCATAAGGAGTCTTTAGAACTAATTAACTTGGTTGAGACTCGGTTTAACATATAAATCATAGTTTCAAGTGTGTATCCCTAAAAGAAAACAAATAGATTTGAATGGACAAAGAGTAACTGAACCATATCTAGTAGGGTTTGGTTACTTCTTTTCGTGTAAGGTGGTGGTGATAGTGATCTACACCCTGAAAGTCTAGTTGGAAAGAATGGCTGCTTACATACCTTCCGGTGAGGGATCAAACTATTATAGTTCGCTAGAGATAAAATTCCAACAAGAGGGGAGAWAATAGCAATTTGGTTGCAAAGAAAAGGGCAAGGTGAGGAGAGGAGATGGAAGAAGGGAGAGAGAGGAAATGGATCTCCATGTGAGTATGTGGGCTAGAAAAGTCCCCAGAACTGGGTGTGGGTCTCCTATTTATGGAGCTTTTGGGTCTATATTCCAGAAATTTCTTATCTTACTCTTTTCCACTTTTAATTATTATGGAATGTTCCCTTTCTTATTTAGTGCTCATGTTTAATTATCCTTCTAGAATACTAATGACCTAATCTAAATGCTTTGTTCTTCTAGAATATTTTAGCATTTGATTAAAACACATGCTCATTACTCGAACCTTGGGTTTAGCCCGAGTTAGCCAGATCTATGTACTTGTGCAATTCTATCCTCTTACATTAGCCCCTACTTAGCTTTGGTTTCTTCTAGCGAAGTTAAGCATAATTTTGTTATCTATGGTTTGTAGATTTTTGATACAAGAACACCATGGATTTGTTTTACGGGCTTATAAGCCGCGCAGGGTGAAACATCAAACATATGCTTTTATATTGTTTGGAGTATGATGTACGTATTTACACTTAATTGCCTTTGAGATGGTACTCTTACTTTAATAACTATTAGTCACCAAATTTCGGAGGAATTTTACAAGTGATTAACCTAAAAATTTTGAAGAATTATTACAAGTGATTAGTGTCTGAATTTAAGCGAGGTCAAGACCCCAAATTTTCTGAAAGAGATATTAAGCAAAATTAAACCTTGAATTTTCAAAAAATTTTAAGCTCCCCCCCTCCCACCGCAACCCCATTTTTTTTAAGCAAATCAGCCCCTAGTACTGGATAAGTGGTAGGATTGAGTGATATAGGGCCAAATATACCAAATGCCTTTTATGGGGATTGGGGAGTGTGCAAAACTGCATGCTATGATTAGTAATGAGGTTGAATTACAAAAACTGAGTGCAAGAGCAAGTATGTAAGCAATTAAATTGTGCACCTGTAGGGTGCAAATTGTTGTCATGTGAAATGTGGATACATGAGCTTTTGCGTTCAAACTTGTTGTTATAAGAAAGGTTCAAAGTATCCACATATATTAACCTGTATCTGCCGATACATATTGTGTCCCGATAATGCCCCTATAAGGATTGTATCGGATCAGCCACTGGTTCAGAGGGTAGTCAAGCCTTAAACTGGTCCCTCTAAACCAATTTCGAAAAAAAGATAAATGAAACATAAAAAAAAAATATCGACACAGGTTGATACACCCAATATATCGGCCCGTGTCAATATTTAGAACCTTGGTTACAAGTAAAGGCATTGAATTATGCAAGTATGAGAACTTAAATATGTCAGTTGTTAATCATGAATATATGAACATGTGCTTATGAAGTATGTAAGCATGCATATGAGACATGAACTATATGCGGTGCCATAAGCATGCCATATATAACCTTGAAAATAAAGTATGTAAATGCATGACTATGGAACTGTAAGTGGTTGGGGAAGACAAGGGCTAGGTCTTGAAAAGAGATTTGTACATGGGGAGACTAGGACTTTAGGAGCATGGTTTTTAAAACTGATCCGAAGACTGAATCGRTCAGGGGTCCAGTTACTGGGTTGAACAGTCGGCCCGTTCTGACAAAAAATAAAAAATAAAAAAAATAGAAAAAATGAAAACCGATCAAAACCATTTGAACGGTTTGAATGGTTTACTGTCCGGATCAGCAATTTGCTAATCAAAATCAACGATTTTTATGGAAAATCCGGTTTTGGAGAAAACCGGAAYCACTCACCTGACCGATCCAACCGTCCGGTCCGATCCGGTTTTGAAAACAATGTTTAGGAGGTGTATGAGAAGACCAAGGATTTGGGAGGGACATCGCATCAAATGGCAGCCAAGGGTAATGCCTCTGCTCTGGTCAGTAGCATCATAATTCATAAGGGTAGTGAGATTTTAACATTACCAAGTAAGCTAGGTCAGCTGGCTCCACCGTAGTTGCACTTTTGTAGCTTTCTAGTTGGAAAGTTGAACTTGGGTTTGATTGTGCACAGCACATTCTTGAACCGGGAGGAAAAGTAAAGAAAGAAAAGAAAAGAAAAAAAAAAACCAAAGGAAGAAAGACTCTGTAACATCTTTCCTGCACCTTTTGTACACTTTCAATTTGGTAGATACCTACCAAGCACCAACTACCTCCTTCACCCACCTCATTTCAGAGTTTAGACTCTGTAACATCTTTCCTCTCCTCTCTCTCTCTCTGGGCAACCACTATGGCTTTCTACACATCTTTAATGGACAAAATTCCAGCGTACACGGGTCTCTCTCCTGCGGCATTCTTCACGATACTTGCTATGATGGTTGCAGTTTATCTACTGGTCTGTGGAATGTTTGTCGACCCGGAAGAGTTGAAGAAACATGAGAAGAATTTAAATCCAGTAGCAAGTTTCCCGGCCCCCAATCCGGTTGAGTTGGGTGACATGACGGAGGAGGAATTGATGACATATAACGGTTCGGATTCGACGAAACCTTTATTGATGGCTATTAAAGGACAAATATACGATGTTACTATGTCCAGGTGCGGGCTSTTTGTTTCTCGATTTCTTCGAATTTTGCTTGTACTCTTCTCTAACAGTGCTTTTTTGTTAATGATTTTTGTTGGCTTTTCGTTCTTAGTTGATAATAATTAGGTTTTGAGTTTACTTTTCTTTTTATGGTGAAATTAGATTCGTAAAGCTCAGTTTGGGAGGAATACAAATACAAATATATAGAGTGCAAAAMTTTGTATTCATTTGTGCTGTACATATTTGTATTTGTACTCTTTCCAATCTGAGCCTAATCGTTTTTAGGGATGTTGTAGGATCTCGGAAAATAATGGGTTTTGCAGTTTTCATTTCTTTGGAGAATTATGGCTAGTAGTTATGCATTGCCTTATGAAGAGGGTTGAACCATGTGATCATTGAGAATTATTGTTATTTGCCTTTAAACATCTCTTTTGTCTTCCTTCTCAATGACATTGGATTAAGGTCTCTACAAACCCATCGAGCAGGAAGGGCCAGACTGCGTGATTGGTTGAATCCATCTTCCATATGGTAGTTTGGAAGTTATCATAAGTTACAATCTGTTAATTCTCAACTTTACCAGCTTGGATTGACACCTATGTGTCGTCAAGAGGATTGAGCTCAGGAGAGATTTAAGAAGACAGTTAGAGGACTGCCTGCACAAGGAGGAAATTAGTTGGAGGCAAAAATCTTGGTGTAAATGGATGCAAGAGGGGGATATAAACACTAGGTTTTTCCACTCTCTAGCAGAAGGTAGGAGAAGGAAGAACCTGATCTCCAAATTGGTAGTAGATGGAGTTGAGCTAGTGCATCAAGAGGAGATTG